TTCACAGCCTCTTTAATGCTTTTTCTATACTCAGTCATGTCACTGTGAGGTGTGATTTTAAGGCAATGCAGTGATTTCCACTATAGAGTCATGTCTGTTTACCTTAAGAAGGCATTGGGATTATGTAATCCAGCACTTTTCATTTCTTAGGGCACTTTGCATTTATTCTTCAGATAACAGCAGATCATGACCCCTATCTTCATAGAGATCCTTTTTGGTAAGGTCTGTGTAATTGGAATCTGTCAGTGGTGAAAGAAGAGAAAAGAAACAGGTGTATTTGATCAGGCACACTTGACTTTGATCATTGCCACAATTACGGCTACTTTTACTGTCTGATATCATGTATCAGGGTATCAAACACATACTTACAAATAAGAATATATGCAAATATTCCCTGTTCAAAGAATATAGTAACATCACTTGTACAGGACCAGACTTCTAGTGTTTTTAAGTGGATAGGAAAAAAGGACTGCTGAAAATACCCTCATCCTGTATCCTTTGGTGCCACTGGGTGAATCATGTTGTGCAACAACCATAGAGAAAACTGAAATAGTTTGGGTACAAATGTAATAAAAGTCGTGAGTCTTGAAGCATAAAGTTGGACTGTTTATCCAACCACTGGAGCTTCTTTCTTTTTCTACTTCGGTCCTGCCTGTGACACACTCACAGCATGTTTGTAAAAATATGATCCTTGTGTTATAAGGTGAGATATTTTTATACAGTAAACACCATAAATACTAAAAGCCTGGACCGCTGTTCATGCACAGAAACACACGTCATCTTTGTCGCACGAAGGCAGACAGCAGGATCATCAGTGTTTACCTGAAATCACAGAACCTGCTGAGGATAAATGCAGGAGTGTTATCAGGACATGTGGATAATGTCCTGCCAAGTTTTATCTTAAAAATGTACTAAATACAATTAAAATCATTTGTTTGAGTAAATTACGGATAAAGTCAACAAATAGACACAGTAAGATGTGACTTCTTGCAGAAGGACACAGATGACATGAATGAGTTCACCACTCTCCTGACTTTTCATTTGCTTATTCCTGAGAGTCAAATACATCTGAATTCAAGTGAATCACTCGACAGCCAATGAGCAGGGAGAAACCCTGGTGACATCTGTCAAGAACAGATTAGTGGAGGTTCAATCGTCTGTAAAATGGAGGAAAACTGATTGTGACAGTGTACGGATAACCTGAGATGAACAACGAGACTTGCTTATGTTGTTGAAACAGGACTGAAAAGGAGCCTGCCCGGAGGAAAGTGAGTGAGGAGGTCGAATTAACTGGTAAGTTTTGCAAACACACCAAATCTTCAAGATGTAGTCAACCTCACCCCTCTCTCGCATTAATTCATGTGTTTGGGTACTCATGCAGACGGGATATATAACGTGCAAATGGAGCGAGACATTTGTACAAATCAGCCGAGTAAACACAAAACATTCAGGTGTTAAAAAAGACATGAATCAAGCAAGTTAATCATATTATTTGTGGCCATGAATTTCCAAGTGGCTGTGAGTTTCAGATTTTCAAACAGATTGAAACTGATACTTACGCCTCTACATAGCTTAAGTAGTTTTTATTGCATGTTTGTTTTTTGCAAATGTCAGAAATGTTAAATAACTAACTATCCACACTTTTTGCAGGGTTTGTAAGATGGTTAATAAAGTTGTGTCATTGTAATAGCGCTTTAAATAGAAAATAATCATGTTGACGTGTTTGTTTATTTTGGGACTAACCAGTGTGTTGGTTTGAGAATCAAATGAATGTTTTCCAACAATTTTACAATATAATAAAATAAAAGTGATACTATCGGCACAATAAGTGTGAGGTGAAAATCTGATATTCAGACCATCCTTGTCTGAAACAAAGACTGTATATAGAATGGACGCAGTCTGCATTTTCGCTGTGTGAGGCCACCCGAGAACAGCACCCTCTGGTGACGGGCAGTTTAATAATGGGAAGTCAGCAATCATCAGTGAGGAAACCAAGGCTAAACTCAACCTAACCAAACCAAACCAAACTGTCTGGCAAGCACCAACCTTCCAGGAGGGAGAGAGAGAGAGAGCCATCTTGGATTCTACCAGCTTTTAGAGGCTCCAAACAGGTGAAATCAGTCCCTGAATGAGGGGAGTGGAGCCGGCACTAAAGGAGGAAAACAGAGGCAGAAATGCAGGAAAACACACTGACCCCAAGGCCTGTGGCTTTCACAACTGGCGCTAAGCTGCTTTAAGTGATGCGGCTGCCCACTAGAATCAGTCTGAATAGTGGCACCTGTATATTTTCAGCTAGTAGGTACTAGCTGAAACTTAAAGTGCTTTTGTGCTTCCGTTTGACACAAAGTGCACAAAACAACTTTCAGCAGAGATGCCTGAGAGTTACTTTAGGACTTAAAAGCAGGCCTTATTTGTGTGGATGCTGCACTACGGAACTTAACCACATGATGCTACCAAGGCCTAAAAAACCTGTTTTAGAAACCTGTCGATATCTGGATGAAAACACAGTATATTTAACACCTTAACGCTAACAGTCTTAGTTTACATTCATGTTGTTTGTGGTTTTGCTATTATTTTTTTTCTGAGGCTTATTAAGTGGTTAGTTTATTCACACACAGAGGCTGGAAACAAAGTGAGATCTTTTCTCAGAGATGAATACATGCTTCCTTCTTTGTTCACAACCTTCGAGGGCCACTTTTCCACAGGTGGTGAGTCAGCTTGCCATGTTCTTTATATTCTTAGTGTATTACGTAACAAATGTGTTCAGATTGTGGTAACAAATGCAAATAATCCATCCTGTTCATATCAGGAGGTTGTAATTCCCCTGCATGTCTCCACAGTCAGCTGCCTCTTTCTCTTTCCTGTTGTGGCTAACTAAGTGTCAGACCTTCAGTGCTGTAAATAAGCAACACCACCTCTGAAGGAAAAGTCCAGGACCTAGCACTGGTGCAGGATCAGACAATTAGCCTCCAGTTCAATAGATACCAGCCTTTCGTAGTCTGTGTCTTTCCAAGGGTGTAACATCTTAAATAAGACGTAACACAAACTCAGTTAGACTTGTGCAGCACATAATCAAACACAGACAAGAGTTTGAAGAAAGTGGATACTTTTAATACTAGTGGATTATCCTGTTGCAGCAGTTAATATTTTACAGGCTTTTTGATTTTTATTTTTTTTTATACACCCAGTCAAGCATCTTCCTGCTATCTATCTTTCTCAGCCCACAACTGAAGTGATTTTTTGAGTTGCCTTTTCTTTTTAAGCAGCAACACAAAGCTTTTTTTCTCGAGCAGGAACTGATAAAGCAGCCGCTCAGCGCCAAACAGACTGTTCTGAGAATAAAAAGAGACCACAACAGGACTAAAGGGGTTGTGATAAATAGATTTACCAAACATCTACAAGAAGCTTTACACAAGCAACTGTGTAAATTCTGTCGGGTCACACAGGATGACTGGCGGCAGCAGAACACTGCATTTTTCATTTCTGTGTGCATGCTAACAGACCCTTCTCAACACCTGCATGAGCAGCACGTCTTACATACATCTCATATCTGTCTCATGTTCTGGAAATCAAGAAAACAAAAGGCTTCCAATATTTTTTTTCTGCATGCTATATGCAGATCTTTACAAAAAGGAAAAAGGAAAATGATCATTTTTTGACAACCCTGGGTCTGCATCGTCTTTATTTTTGTTTGAAAAATATACACTAAAAGTACTTTTGGAAAAGCATCTTAAAGCAAAGGCCCAAACTATTCCTTTTTTATAGATTGCCCTTGTTTTATTCTTAGCTTTTTTATTTAATTATTCCTTTTTCTGTCACCTGTGTCTTTAAAATTATGAATTAAACTTGTTTTGAGCATTTTCAAAAATCTTACGTTGCAGTAGAAGCAATAAAACTGTGGACTCGCCTTGACAGCTTTTATTGCAGCTCATGCAGTTTTTGTTGACACTACTGACCAACAGTGTTCGTGTGACACGAGTGTAAGCCAACAACCTTTTGAGCTGTGAAAAAGACGGGATGACAACAGACTAAAAATGCATCACAGATGACAAAAGATTTTCTGTTTTCATTAATAAAACAGTGACAACACAAAAAAGTGGAATGTGGTACTTTTCAAATTAACACTTTCCCCACTGCACATCTTATCTATCCCTTAAAGTATAAGCAGCCCCTCCCTGTAACAGGCTGAGCTAGTAAAGAGCGCAGTGTTAACTTAGTCACTTAAAGGTGCCCCATTATGGCATTTTTCATCAAGTTTAAATCGGTCCCACAATAGTAAATTTGAAGTTTGTTGTCTAAAACACCAGTTTATTTGTGGATATCAGCCGGCCTTCCCCCCTTCTTTTTGAGATCCACTGAGAGTGGGATGATTCTGCCCCTGTACCTGTAAATGATAATGAGCTGTGTGTAACCAGGCGATTTCAGCCAAAGTGCTAGTCATATGGGCGGTAGTAAAGCAACATAAAATGGTAAAACATACAGCTTACACATTTGAAGTTGGGTCCCTGAAGCAGGTTGTATCTTCAGATTCTTAACGAATTCTGCTTTGAACTGCCCCTTGTTGGTAGATAAAGTCCATGGTGAAATGGTTAACACACACATAAACAACATTTTCTGAGTCATTGTGGGTACATTTCAACATTTCAACATTCTATTTCAACAACTGTAAACCTGGTGCAGTGTCAAAGTGCATAAACAGGTGCTCTACAATACCTCATGATCAGGTGTTACTCTAACTCTTTAAACACAAGTGTTTGCAGAGCTCTTTTGTGCTGTCTTTATCCCACAACTGATGTTATTCTCGAGCTGAAGTGAAAGCAGATGTGAGAAATTTCTCCATCAGTCCCCCAGACCACAAAGCCTCAGTCTTACTTTCCTTGAGTCACAGCCAAAGTAGTGTCACATTTAACATTATCGTGCAAAATTCACCAGATAAGTCTGTATTTATGCTCACTAGAGTTTTACAGCACTTCTTTTTAACTGTCAACGTCAACTTCACAGTCATTTCAGGCTGAGGATTAACTTGTCTAAATTTAAACCAGGCTTTCTGCAGACCCCAGCTGTGTAGCATCGAGAGCACTTCCTCTTTCATCGTAAACAGAGAGTAAAAAACAGCTTTACCTCAGATCAGAAATCACAAGTGTGCTGCTTTCATCCTGCACACACAACACAAAGAGACATCAAGCACAAGGCCCGGCAGCTGTGTCATCCACAGCAGGATACTCGACTCTACAACACAGCAAAGCTGCAGCAAATTTAACTCAAGTGACAGAAAAACCGGCTCCTGTTTTCTACAACTGAGGGGTAAGTTGTGCAAGGATAAAGGTGTTAAATATTCACTGTGTGTGGTATGTTTTAATCGAGATACCATCATGGTTCCTCTTTTTTTAATAGAGATCCTAAACATGCCAGGAAAAAAGAGGATGAGGCTTTTGTTCCATCTCACACTGGTGTTGTCACTGATCCTGACTTCAACTTTAGAGACCCTCGATTCAGACCAAGAGCTGCAGGACAGTGGTTTCGGTCAGCCTCCGCCTCGTCATGGTCTGAAGCTGCTGGTGTGGTATGTTCAAAACTGCCTGGACAACAACATGGTGTCCCTTTGCGATCCAGTCCAAAGAGAGTTTGGATTTCATAAGTTTTGGAACACAGCACGTCTGCTGCCAGTCATAAGGGACAGACAGCAGTACTCGTACTACACCATCGGAAACCTCAACTCTCCTCATGCCAAAGACCTGCCGTATGATGTGAGGAGATACTACGACCGAAAAGACCCCAGAAGTAACATGGACAGAGTTTTGGTGAAATATAACATGAACAATAGGCGCATCGAGGAGATCTACGCTTCTGCACATTACGATCCATCAGAGACGTACCAGATCGGCCCCGATCTTCTCGCCTCTCTTCGGCAGCAGACGGTCTTCATTAGCATAGAAATGTGATGTTCCTCTGATGCAGAATCTCCCTGTGGCATCTTTAATAACTCTATGGCTCTTCAAAAAAAAAATCCTGATGAGGTTTCCAACATTTTCTTTAACAGTCTTGATTGACATGCTTTACTGCTGTATGTCTTTGATGGGAAAAGTGCCAGGCTGCTGTGATGAGCTTCCTTTAAGGCTTAGGTATAAGTTGGAAAAGTTTAAGCTTCCTTATTTGCCTCAGTGTGCCTGCATGGATAAGAATGTAGATGTATATTTAAAGATTTTATATGCAAAGAAAGCTTTGGGAAAGTTTCTTACTTTGAACATCATATGCTGCCTTTGTCATCAATAAATGACAGTGATTCATGTTTGAATTTGTGTCTGGCTCTGTTGGAGAAAAAGTCAGCTTACTTGCGTTTAAGTTTCAGAAACAATAAAGAGAGAACACATGCTTAAACTGCGACATTAGGAAAATGTGGGCAATACGACAATATTTGCAAATATAGCTATTGTATGTCAGCAGCAAAGCAAATATAGAGCATGCATGCATTTTTCATTGTTTGTAAGTCTATAAGTCACACATGAATTTTAGGGTTAGGGATGAGAATAAAATAACTTCAGGTTCAAACTTTTCAGGATCATACGCTTTGAGAAGAAAGTAAGAATGTTGTGAACAAAGGAGATATTTGCTCAGTGAATAGCTTTTCTGGAGCTTATTTGCATAGAAAGGGGCCAATATTGCCCATACTAATGCATAGTGGCGCATTTGAATATTAGCAAACACTAGCAGCTCAGCCATTTGTTCTACAGTGCAGAGTTAATTTTGGCAGCTATTTAGATAAATAGCTTTCAGTCACATCTTAGTCTTTTTTGCCCTTCAGAGTTTTTGTCTGGTTCAATTCTATAATAAGTTATTACACTTAGTCAAAATGTCTTCAAAGTGATTCAACTAACCAATCAGAGATTGGTATCAAGGTTGAACTTATGCTGCGTTCCATTTACCTCGGAAGTCGGATGTAGGAGCTGGGAATGACGTTACACCCAAGTTGATGACCTTCCAGTAAACATGACGAAAACCAAGATGGACATCTACTGTTAGCCTTTGTTAGCTGTTGTTTACAATTGTCAGCTGTCGTTAGCCGTTAGCTGTCATTGTTAGTGGTTGTCAGCTGTTGTCAGCACTTGTTAGTTGTTAGCTATACCAGTTATAAACAACTCATGACACATTATTTTACTCTAACAAACACCATTGCACCATGTTCACAGTTAGATGTTGAGTAGTACAATATATACCACTTATTTAATTTCACAAAAACAAAACAGAAGTGCTAATAAATAATACATTACGAGAGCTTTCACTGTTACTCTTATCTGTTGATGCACTGTGCTGCCATCTTGGATTATGGCATTGTTGTCAACTTGGGATTGGTGAGGATCGTCCGACTTTCCAAGTCAGAAATCTAACTTCAGGGGGGCGTTCCAGTTGAATTTCCGACTCGGAGCTCGAAAATTCTGACTTTCAAGTACAACTGGAATGCAGCATTACCTCAAAGTTTTGTGTGTATTTTGTGAATTAGACCCTGCCTTTGTATGTGCAGTCAGGCCCAGTGTGCAGTTGTTTTAATGTTCACTCAGTCACTCAGCTTCTGCCTGATTTTGATTGTCATGCATTTGTTGTTTTTTAATATCACCTCCCTCAACAAAATGTGATACAATATATCAACAGAATTCTGCATTTTAAAATCTCTGTTGGATGTTTGTCCCAGCAGGTCAAGCTTTAAAGACTGAGCTGACCCATACTTCCCCCACTGTGAATAAACAAAAAGTAGTACTCACTACTTTTAAGCCTCCGGTTTGTGCAAAAATAAAATCTGCACATCCCCAAATCAACTGAGAGAGCTTAGTGTCCAATTTAGCAGACAAATCAGTGGGAGCTCCAGAAAGTGTCAGTACGCATTCAGTCAGAGCGCTCTGTACCTTCTGGTGAGGCCACTACCAATTGCTAATATCATGAAAGCCATGATAAGCCAAACTCCTGTCGTCTGTTGTTGTGTGTCCTGTTGCTTCATGTTTGTGTTACAGAAATGATCACAACAGGTTGTACCAACCAAGCTTTGTCCTTAACTGAAAAGTTTCATTTACCCTAAAACGGTGTCAGAGTTGTTAAAGAAAATCTAACTTCCAAAACTGCCTTCAGACCGTTGATTTTTTTAATGACCAAAGCCGTGATTTGAATGACTCCAGAAGCAACAAGGGTTTAATTATTTAGTTAGGAAACTCTTTTTCCAGTCTTGACGCATGATTCCGGGAAGTCCACATTTACATCCTTCATAAATAGCATTTCAAACTTTATAGAAACACTATATTTCTTCTAGACAGGGGAACACAATGATATCAAAGTGCACTCTTTGGCAAAATGCTTGTCTGGGTAGCAGGGAAAGTTTGCCTTTAAGGCCTTCTACCAGAAAAAATCTATTTCTTTAACACTGGCATCCAGAGAGAATGAATAACAATATTGACGTTTGATTGAAGAAAGAAACCTGAGTCTTTACTCAGCCCTGTGGTCGGTGTGGTTGGTTTTAGGCACTTCTTCAGCAATACATGTAGAAGATCAAAAGTTAGTCTATATAATGATAAAAAAAATCCATATTAGGCTCCACATTTGCATTTGTGTAGATATAGTTTGGTTCAGCAGCCTAAGTTTTATGCCACAGTGTATCCAAAAGTGGGGGCTTTGACCCCTGAGGAGGCCGGGAGACACTGAAAGCTCGGGTACCTGTGATATCATAGTCCAAGCACTCTTTATACAGGGGTTGCGTCCCAGCTGCATCAGTTCCAGCCATCAACCTTTGCAACATGTTAACCTTCACACTCAACTTCCCATGTCTCCTCTCTGGTACCAGCTGCTACACTATTAAAAGCAAAAATTCTCCAAAACATAACTGAAAGAAAACTAAAGTAATTACATCTACAAACATGTCTGGGTGTAGGACATGATGTCCGGTTGTAGAGCACTACAGAGCTTCTTGCTACTGTAGTGTTTTCATAGAGAGACTATTAATCAGAGCAGTTCTGACGCTGTTTGTTTTGAACTCAGCATGAAGTGTGAGCACTCTCGTACAATCAAAAGGCTGCTTGCCTCTTAAAGGCTTTTGAGACTGAGAAAATGCAGTGATTGCAAAAAGATATTTTTTAAAAGGGAATTCTAATCTTAAATATGAAGTTTGAAGCAGTTCAGACTCTGTATTTTGTGAGTCATATGCACTGTATCCTCTGCTCTAAAGAAAAGAGGAACCACCAGAGGCTTGTTATCATCACACAGTTCAAACTCTGATGGTACAGTGGTACATACAGTATATACCCATGGTATGGGGAGCTTACACATCTGGTAAGGCCTCACTAATGATGAACAGTAACATACACTGCCATCCAAACAATGACTTTTTCAGGGAAGACCTTTATATTTTAGCAAGACAATGTCAAACCACATTCTGCTGGGATTACAACAGCCCGGCTCTGTAGTAGAAGAGTCCTGCTGATAAACTTGCCTCCAATCCTACCTTGTCCCCCATTAAAAACATCAGGTGAGTCAGGAAGTAAAAAATGTAAGGAAAGGGACTCAAAACTGTTAAGCCGCTGAAGGAATGGGACAATATTTCACTTTCTAAAATCCATAAAGTGGTCTCATTGGTTCCCAAACTTTTACACAGTGTTGTTAGAAGAGCTGATACAATTCAGTGGTCAGAACCAACCTTTAGTAAACATGCTGCTCACATCAGATATAAAAATGAGTGGATATTATTCAAAACTGTAACATTTATAGACATTAAAGGGTTTAAAGGATTTGCAAACTGTCCAAATCTGTTTTTATCAACATTTTAAAAATGTCCCATCTGTCATGGATTCAGGGTTGTGTTATGGTTCTTTTGCTGCTGTTTTTAGTTTTTGTAGTTTTCTGGTTTGGCCTAATAGTACTCACTTGCCGCTGTGAGCAACATGCAACCACCTCGAGGCACAGTTGGAGTCACCAGTGTCTGGCACCATTATTTTGGGGATCACTTGTTAAAAAAGTTTGGGATGCTCTGTTAAGACGTAGTTTAAAAATAGAAGAAAAACTGCAGGAAGGTCTTGTAGGAGTAGCGGCTGTGCTGATAACGAAGTTCAAATGAGGTACAATAAAGTGATGACCACATAAATAAGAAAATGATATATCAGCACAAAATTACAGGTGGTCATGATATACACTCTGTTTAATCCTTAAATGCAGTTTTTCCTCCAAAGTGACCCAAAGTTAGCCGATTATATCATGCAACAGGCGTGTCACATTACATGTGCTTGTTACCTATTTCCAGACGACTCATTGATGATCATTAATAATTAATTGGTTGCATCATTTTAGGCTTAACTAAAGCAAATACAGCCCCAGCAAATTTACAGTATCCTGCAGTAAATGAAAAATAAAGAAACTATCAAGTAAAGGGGGCAAATGGTGAGGCAGAGAATGACTCTCGCCGAGGGAGAAAACAGCATACAGCTTTATTGAAATTAATGAGCTAGGTGCAGGAAATAAACATAATAAACGAGGTTATGAAGAGGAGGGAGAAATAGAAATAGTGTGTGTTATGTGTGTTATAATTTCTCCTGAGGATTTTAGATGGTCTGAAGGTCAAGAAGTAAAAACAAAAATGTAAAAATCTTCCAGTGCGAAAGTTCCTCAGAGCTCTAGAAATGTGTGTGGATTCCAATATGAGCCCCCATAGCAGGCAGTCAATCAAAATGTTGACTCTAATGAGTTGTGAAACAAGGCGGCACACACCTCCGTGGCCAAAAGGCACAAAACTCCTGCAGAACCCACTTTCAATATGATGATGACAAAGCACCCTCACGCCTGCAGTCCTCAAAAGCCACAGAAAGGTCTCATTCATCTTCTGCTCTCCTCTGGTGCCAATGGGAGGACACCAATCGTACGCTCACAGGTTAAATTCTGATTTGATTTGATACTCCCACTGAAAATATAACAGAGCCCCCTGAACGAGCAGGACCAATCTGAGTAGATAAGAGAGATTTATGCTGTGTTCAGCTGTGTTGAGAAATACCAGGAGAGTTTGAAAACACATTGTCTGATTTGGTGTTTAAGAAACCCTCGATATCTGTTTACCTTTCTTTTCACTTTAAACACATCCTGAATAGCAAAAACCCTCAACACTTGTGTCCATATCTCCTGATAATAAGTGTGAACTAAACTGTTTCTGCCAAACACTTACAGACACAAACAAAATAATTGGAAAATCAGATATCGGCGTCATGTAATCTTGCCACCAAAAACTCAAGTGTTACCCAAGACGACGCCTGGATAAGCTTTACACTCAAACTA